ATGCTGAAATGAGAAATCGAAGTTAAGTTTTAAGTCAAGTATTCACCAAATTCACCTAGGTATGATTTGGAAAGGAAAATGATGTGATTTAAGGATTTAATTGCTCCAGGAGAACTCACCATTAAGAGTTTTTGTACATTGCAAAGCATGGATGAACAAAGTGAGCTTCTGTAGCAGTTTTCCTTACTACTTTGTACTTTGAGTGATAGCTGTGGAAAGGGAGCAGTTTACTAAAACCATAATGAAATTTCCCACAGGTACTAGAGCAATGTGGTTAAAGCTGATGACAAGAACTTAAGAAAAAAAGAGAAAAAACTTAGACTGCCAAATATGTAGCTGAGCTGTGTGCGACTGAGTTTGCAGAAATTTTTAACATAAAGGCAACATTGTGCAAGTGTTTTCAAATGTAATATAACATTTTCCCCAGACTCCTCGCATTACTTTTTTCCTGAACAGAAGACAGCCATCATACACTATAACGGATAAAGTGTTCTGATTTGGTTGTAGGCAAAATACTTAGCAGATGAGAAATAGCTGACAGTGTGCTCTGAAGAAGAAAGAATTTGTTGTAGGGAAGATAAATGTGAAGTACCACAAGGGTCATAAATTTTACTTACTGCTGAAAATACTTCTTATTAAGCTGCATAAAATTTTCTAAGACTCAAATGGGACTGAGAGAGAACCTGTCTAAAAAACTTCAACAGGTCCTTTTTTGAGAACATTTTGTCCTTGTACTTCATTTCAAACACAGGAGTGTGAGTAAGGACAGAGCATAGGTTACCCACTAAGTAAGCCAGAATCAGGAGATGTTTTAAACGAAGATGAGGGCTTCGTTTGTGAGTTGTTTTGCAAGTTTGCGCTGACTGCCAAAACATTTCCAAAGTTGAACTAGTTGTATGAAAAATATTTTCCTATCCTTATTGTGCGTATGCCAAATACGTAATTTTTTTAACCCGTTTTACAGAAATGTCTTGCTGAATTATTAGCATTGCCTTTCAAATGAAGTGCGTGTCATCAGGGCTTATCTAGAGACTGCAGATTCCTCCAGTGCTGTTTCAGTTTAGCTACTTAAACTTGCAAATACTGAGTAAATCTGTTGAGAAGGTTTTGTGTTCACAAAAGCATATTAAGAAATTATTGAAAAAAATAAGTAAAAAACCAAAAATGCTTTAATCCACATATCTAAAGGAGGATGTACGGCATCCCCATTCCCCTGATGGGTGCCTTACTGGGTTACAGGAAGGGCATCAATGGTATAAAGTTGGTTTGGCTTTGTCATATACTTTGCAGTTTAAATAAGCACATGAACAGAGTTGCACGTCATGACACGTTCCCTGTGAAGGCAAAAAGCGGAAACCCATACTGTTCTTGTACCAGAAGACACACACACGGTGACATGTTCACGGACTGTTTTCTAAGCTTTAATGGAATTGTCTGTAAGCAGAGTTTACCCAGTACAGACTGAGTACAAGTGACTCTTGTTTGTGTTTGCCTGAAGCTTCCAGGTCCAAACATATTGGCCATCTTCCGTATTACAGATTGAGATAGTGGCCCGTTTCCCCCAGTTTTCTCTCAAAATTCTTCCTGAGTGTATAGAGGCCATCACACTGTTCTGTCAGTCTTCTCCAGCAAGCCTCAGCCATGGCACTGTTCCCTGCTGCCTCTCTGAATCATTGCCAGTTTTTCTTGCTAGGTAGTTCTTCACTCTTGCTCCTTCGGACTTCTCTGAACTCCCTCTCTTGACCAAGTGCCTTTCTTTATGTCCCAAGAGAAGGCAGCTGTCTAATGATCAATTAAACAGATTGTAGATTCTGAAAATCTTGATGAAGAAAATGAAAGCCAGGTTGGTTTAGACCCAGGTGGCAACTAAGCACCAAGCAGCTTCTTGCTCACTCCTGCCCCTGGTAGAATGGAGAGGAGAAAAATGTAACAAAAGGCTCGAGGGTCAAGACAAGAAGAAGGAGGGATCACCCACCAATTATCGTCATGGGCAAAATAGACTTGACCTGTCAAAAAAATTCAATTTGATTTGTTGTCAGTTACATCAGAGAGGATAATGAGAAACAAAACCAGATCTTACAAACACCTTCCCCCCCCAACCCTTCCCTTCTTCCTGGCTCTACCTTCTCCCCTACAGTGGCACAGGGGGATGGGGAACGAGGATTGCAGGTCAGTTTGTCACATGCTGTTTCTGCTGATCCTTCTGCCTCAGGGAGGGGACTCCTCACACTCTTCCCCTGCTCTAAAGTGGGGTCTCTTCTGAGGGCAGGCAGCCCTCCACGAACTTCTCTGACATGAGTCTTCCCTGTGGAAAGCAGTCCTTACCCATCAGACTGCTCCAGTGCAGACTCTTCCCACAGAGTCACAGCTTCTGTGGGCACAGCCACCTGCTCCAGCATGGGGTCCTCCACGGGCTGTGGGTGGATCTCTGCTCCACTGTTTCCTTCACGGGTGGCAGGGATCCATCTGCCATCTCACCAGGGGCTGCAGGGGCATCTCAGCTCTGACACACCTCCTCCCACTCCATCTTCACTGATGGGGTCTGCGTGGCCCTTACTCTCAGGTCTCAGCCCTCTCTCTGCTGCAGCCATGCCGGGCACAACCGGCCTGATGAACCTCAGCAGTCCTGGCAGGACGAAACCCTCCCAGCGGGTGCCCCGGGAGCGGAGCACTTCAGAGCTCTTCAGGTGGTGCCTCCACGGCCATCTCCAGTTGCATGGCAGTGGCCCAGCATGGGCATCCAGTGGCCAGGTCTCCCTGCCTCCCCCCTCTCTCTTCACTGCAGGTCCTATATGGCGTGGGTTTCTTTGTCCCTTCTTAAATGTGTTATTCACAGGGGTGCTGGATGGCTCGGCCCTGGCCAGAAGCAGGTCTGCCTTGGAGCCTGCTCCTTACAGGGGCTATCCTGATAGCTCCTCCCCGCTACCAAACCCCCACCACATAAACCCAACATATTTGGTTACGTGCAAGCAATGTTTTAGCAGGTTATAAGATTAATACGGGACAGTAATTCAAATGTACTAAAGAACATCTAATACTCAAGGATTTGTTGCGGCTAGCTGTTTCTTTATTTTTTTCATTTGAGCAGCATTAGCAAGTGAATGATAATTGTATCTGTTCCTCTTTTAGCCTCACCGCATCAAAATATCAAACAGCAAACAACAGAAACTAATATAATCTTAAAGCTAATATAAGTAAAAACAGCAAGCCATCAAGCTGCTTCTGTTGTAATGTATTGCCTTTCTGTTAGAATTCTGAATTTCTCACTTTTCTGACCGAATATTGCAAGAGCTTGCTTCTGGAATTCTGTAAATGTTATGCATATCTTTATTCTGGCAGTGCTGGATATCAAATTTCCCCTTGATGGAAGATAACTTTAAAATGCTGCCCAGATTTCTAGACTAAGAACCAGAATATCTGTTCTTTCTTTCTGTATGCCCAGACAGTGATTATTCATTATGGTAATCATAATTACAGAAAGATGACATTCTTTGAGAATCTCTGTAGGCCTTTATAAAATGTCGTATTTGCTCCAACCAAGTTTCTTTCTAGTATTTAATAAATTCTTATATGGTATTTATTTAAGATACAGAAGATGACGCATATATTCTTCTTTCAGATGACTTTGCCTTTTGTAGAGCATTGCCATTGATGAACCATAAGAACTAGAAAACTGGCTTGTTCTGTTTCACATCTTCGCTGGTGATTCAACCTGGAAATATTTGTGTTTCCGTCTGAAATGTTAATTTAAACATCTGTTTTGCAAAGATGTGCACCATGCAATGTCTTTAAAGAAATAGAATCAACCAGTTTTAATTAATACAAATATATCTGCATGTACTAGTGATGCAAAATTAACCGTGAAAATGCTATTCAGTATTCAATACTGACTTGTATTAGATTGCTATTAATAAATAAAATTTATCTAAGTAGCATCTAATCAGTATAAATTTATCCAAATCAATTGTATGAAAACATTGTTAATTAAAATATAAACTTATTATTTAAGGAAATTGAGTAAACTTGATAAGCATGCCTACATTTTGAATATACCCAAACACTTTGATTGTAGGTGACATAACCAAATGATTTTAGTTTTTTCTTGTCCCAATACATAAATAAAGTAATGAGTTTCTCAGAACCTGGATTTTTTTTTGTTTGTTTTGTTTATAAGATCTCATTAAGAAAATACATATTAGGGACAAGTCTAAGCAGGTGTCACATGTATTTCCAGGCTGAATTATCAGAGAAGACGAGAGATAAGAGCAAGACAGTTTAGAGTCTTTGTGGTATAATAGCGGT